TAATCTTCTAGGACTCCTTTACCTCATCTGTATAATAAAGGTGGCATATTAGATAGTATCTTTAGTTTTATTTGGTGCTCATATTTAATGACTAATGGTTCTATGTAAGAATACACCTGTTCATAAGGTCATGTTGCTTGTTTTTAGTGGAAAGAGTAGCAATAGATGCATACTTGCAATTTACTCAATCATCAATAAAATTGTAAAATCCATAACTACCTTGGATTTGAAACATTATGATTTTGATAAGAATGCATCCATGTCCCCTGTGGTGTTCTGCAGCTTGGTGAACCCTACCTAATTCAGAATTTCAAAGAATGAGATGCTTCCTGATGTTCAATTCATCATCAGTATCCTTGGATAAAAAAAGGAGCCCTGGTGGCACAATGGTTAAGTGCTCAGCTGCTAGTAGAAAGGTTGGCAGTTTGAACCCATCAGCAGCTCCGTGGAAGAAAGACCTGGAGATCTGCTCCCAAAAATATTACAACCTAGAAAACCTTATGACGAAGTTCTACTCTGTCATGTGGGGTCACTATGAGCCAAAAATCAAATCAACAGCACTTAACCACAACAACATCCTTGGATAGCATGCTTTAAAATCAACCTTTGTTGAGGTTGTCTTTATGAGAAAGATGATCCTCTTGCAAGGATAAAAATACACTGCTTTTTTCCCCCTATATTCAACCAGAGCGCAGAATCTGATAAAAGTATTTGTCACAGGTCCTTCAAACGGCCCGCATTTGTAAATGTCTGCAATGTTTACGTTTCCTCTGGTGGTGCTGCTGAAGATCCTGTGCTGGCTTCTGCTCTTCTGTGTTCTTGGAGGAAGGCAGGGAGCTCACAGTTTGTGATTAGTGAGCAAAGACAGATGAGCCGCAGGGCTGCCGCTCAAGCTGTCTCAGTTGCCCGCTCATTGTCTCTTTCCATTATCCTTGCGCTTTGAAGGACATTTGCCAGATCCAGACTCCCCAGACTCTTTTTATTTGCATGTCTTTTCTCACCTTCAACGTGATCTGGACTGGTGTTTTCATTTGTTAAAAACAACAAGAACTTTCACTGGGAAACGTTTGCTGGCATCATTTCAGGTCATCATAGCTATTCATTCCCTGTCATAAATGATAATTCTCCACTTCCCTTACTCCCACATCAGGGGAGTTGGTGGTTTATGGTGGACAGTCAGTGGGATTTGAGTGAACAGTGGAAGATTTCAAAGAACTACTGAGGGATTATGTAGCAGGTTGTAGTACTAAGAACAAAACATAAAATATCCTGGGTCTTGATCATACTTTGGCAGTACAAGAAGAAATAGGCTTACAAAATAGCATAAAGGATTTAGAATTTGTGGTTATACCTGAGAAAGAATTTTTTTGACAGCAGAAAACAAATCATGGGATTGGCTTAATAAGGGATTTCCTTTATGTGATGAAAAATAATAGACTAAGATCTCTATAATTGGTTTCAGTTTGGGGTAGGAATGGAAGCTAAGGAGTTTTTGCAGACTTCTATCTAACTGAGGCATGGAATTTAGATTGAGGTGCTTTCATAAAGGCCTGGATGGACTAAAGAGACTTGACATGCAAGACGCATAGAACCACAGACAAACAAACTTGGGAATGATAATGAGGACAACAAGAATGTCTCCAAATAATTAGAAAGGAATGAGAGTACAAATACAAGAGAGTTACTGAAAGATGTTTGCTCCTAGCTGTTGAATTCTACTATTGATATTATTGTAAACTAATTTTGCTTATGGAGGGTCAGCAAAAACACTAAATGAGATGGATTGACATGATAGCCACAACAATGGAATCAAACATACCAGTGATCACAAAGATGGCACAGGACCAGGAAACGTTGAGTTCTGTTATACAGCAGATTGCCATGTGTTGGAGCTGACTTGATGGCAACCACCAAGAACAAATAGTGGTATAATCAGTGATGTTGGTTAGAATATTCTAGGCCTTGCCATAGTCAAAACATTAACCCTACAACTGAAACAAGTAGAAACAGAGCAGCAAAAGAAACCCTCAGGCACCAGAAGGAAGGAAATAATAAAAATTAGAGCAGAATTAAATGAAATAGAGAATAGAAAAACAGTTGAAAGAATTAACAAGTCCAAAAGCTGGTTCTTTGAAAAGATCAACAAAATTGATAAATCATTGGCCAAACTGGCAAAAGAAAAACCGGAGAGGAAGCAGATAATAAGTATAAGAAATGAGATGGGTGATATCACAACAGACCCAACTGAAATGAAAAGAATCATAACAGATTACTATGAAAAATTGTACTCTAACAAATTTGAAAACCTAGAGGAAATGGAAAAATTTCTAGAAACTCACTACCTACCTAAACTAACACAAACAGAGGTAGAACAACTAAATAAACCAACAACAAAAGAAGAGATTGAAAAAGTTA